AGCTGATCTTGAGGAAAAAACGTGTCGTCTGATCGATGTCTTCATTCCTACGTTTTCTGCAGAATTTCGCGAGAATCTTCAAACACGCGGCACTAGGGAAACATTTGCTAGATTTTTTCTCGACTGGGATTCCTGCGAGACAAAGCAACGAAAAGAAAAAAATGAAAGTAGCGCAATAAAGTTTGCCAAGATGTAAAAAAAAGAAAAAGAACGAAAACGGCGAATTTCGCAAGAAAACAAGCATTTCAGGATTCCTCGTGTTGCTGCAATTCCCACGTGAAAAAAAAGATACGGGTTCATGTGACATTTATAAACTGATTTTCGTTTGTTTCTTGCTTCATCTCGTTCACGCATTTCTGTTTATTTTGTTTTATTCATTCTATTTTTTTTTCGCGGTTCCAGTTCCGGGTTTGTTCGGATGGCGAGGAAAACCTGCGAGATTTCCACATGGCCCATGCTGACAGCTTGACAAGTCATTGCCCTGGTTCCCTCTCCCATCTTCTTTTCTTTCGCCATAAAATTGAAAAAAAAGCCCTCTGGAAATCCACAAGCAATTTTACTCAAAAAAGCGGGAAAGGATGCCCTTCAAATATATATATATATATATATTTTTTTTTTTATATACTGAACATGTATCTGCTGAACCAGCAGGAAAAGCTGCTTATTCCATGTAGCGAGTCTGAAATGTTCTGCTTCTGATACTCAGTTTTTTGAAAATATTCGCCTCGAAAGTACGAATCCATTTTCATTACACTTGCGAGAAATAATTTGTATATATCCTACGACTGATTACTTGCCGTCACTGCGGAGAATTGAGTGCTGCAAATTTTGATTATACCGATCGTTCATCAATCCATCTTTCAATTGAAAATACGAGTTCAGCCCACGGAGATGAAAGCTATAAACATAAATCTTAAAGTTTGCCATACATACTTAATTTGATGCAATTACAATAAATTAATAATACGAGAGAAGGTTCTCAAAAGCATTCATGAGTTGACTGAGAAAGGTTTCTAGGTGATCAAGGCACAGGAAGACTTGAAAATTTTCTTTCATAAGATGGATCAGCATCTGAATGCAAAGATAATAAGAGTATACTTTGTAGAAGTTAAAAAAATCTTTCCAATGATCCTCGTAAATCATCTTTCTCGCGTACCTGAGTCTCATCTTGTGACACACAATTTCGGCAACTATTTTTTTGCGTCCCGACTAGAGGGTGAACTATTCTTGGAAAATAACACTTTCAGGGTTTCAAGGTATGTGGCGGAATAATTCGGTACATTATCGTACTGTCCTCCAATTGCGGGTACCGCAAACACCTGCAATAATAAATGTCGATTACTTTCAGGAATCCACAGGAACATTCCAGAACATTCTACTGGAGAGAATTGACGCCTCCATTTTCTATCAATAAAAATCAGTACTCTCTTAGATCTCATCGAAGTCGGTTGTGATTGTGTGTGATTTCCTTGTGATTGACATCTTGGGGTTAATTGAAATATATCTATATCTTTACTTTTGGGATCTTGAAAAGCAAGATCCCCAGGTGCACCCCACACCTGATTGAAGTGTTTCATTTATATAATTCAAAAATCTTTTACCAGCTTTTGTGCTAATTCGGGCACAAAAATTGGTAGCAGAGCATAAACTTCGCGATCTTAGTTTTTTTTAACTTCCTTTTTTCCCTCCTGTTGCCCATGGCTACTACATCGTCCGCTGGAGAGGCTATTCCTCTGTGTGAGTTGGATTTACGTGAGTCTCCTCCTTCTAATCCTGATTTGGACCCTTCCACTGCCCCTTCCGTCGCACCCTTGCCGGATCTTCCCGTTTCTGTTTTGTCTCTGTCCCCCTCCACCTTTTCTCTTGTTTCGTCCATAATCCGTCTCGCGCGTTTAATTCTTTCCACTGATTGCGCATATGTTTCCCCAGATCCTTCTGGGCAAGTGTCCGTTTTCGAAGGTATTCTTTCTGATTTTACTGATCTAGCTACCCTCTTCGCTGTTTTTGATCTTTCTCAACTTCCCCCTCCTTTTACTCAGGACTTTGAATCTCTAAAAACGGAACTTAACGCTTTAATTTTTCTCACCCCAGCTGATCTTCAATCCCGTTGGCTTTCTGTGCAGCCTTCCTCTTGTACTCTTTTTGGAATCACTCTTCCTGTGTTGCCGTCATCTCCGTCTTTGCCGCCACCTCTTCTTCCCGTCTCTCGTCTTCCCTTTTCGTCCTCTGCCTCTGCTCCATCTTCGGTTCACCAAGACCAGATGGATACTTCCCATCAAGCCTCGTCCCTGTCCTCTCAGCCACAACTGTCCTCTTCTGTACCTTATCCTGACGCTGCTCTAACGCAACGTCTTTTTGGGCTTACCGTCAAGGAAAGTTCTTTTGAGTATGAACTTGGCCTTTATGGTACAGGTGCCAGTTTATCCACTCAGGGTAAGGATGGTACATCTTTCATTAAGGATTATCAGAAAACTACCTTAGTTAACTTTAAACGCTTTACCGGGTGGTTCACCAAGACCAGATGGATACTTCCCATCAAGCCTCGTCCCTGTCCTCTCAGCCACAACCGTCCTCTTCTGTACCTTATCCTGACGCTGCTCTAACGCAACGTCTTTTTGGGCTTACCGTCGAGGAAAGAAGAAAACTCATACTTGAACCGGAAATACCATGTCCAAGGTCAAATAGGTGAGTCCCATTCCTACCATGTAGAAAGTAATTCCTAATAGTCTTTTGATGGAATCAATTGAAATTTGCGAAATGGCCCGATGATGGTGAGACTTTTGAACGTATCTGGACTCAATTTAAGCATATTCATGAGGCACCACGCCACGAACTTACTCCTCGTGAGCGTATTAAGCTTTTTCTTTTTCATCTTGATGGTGCCGCTTTAAAGAAAGTCATACAGTATGAGGGTCGCTCTCATGAAGATGATTATTTGGGTATGCTCGAAACCATTTTACTACTAATGCCTTTACAACTTTTCTGGTTTTTCCTCTAAAAATTTCTTTAACTATTGAAAGGCATAGAATTACCGTGTCGACTCGTTCGACCGCGGATAGAGGCACTCTAGTACGCAACACAACAACGTCTCACCAATCTTGGTGTGCCTATTCAATCTGTTCACAAACGCATTTGGCCGGGTATTACTGATCGCCTTAAGCGGGGCAATCAGTTTGATGCTCTTACTAATGGTATCCGTACAGCCCATTTTAATGGTTCTATTAATGATAAAATTCTTGATCGGTGGGAGCGTAATCCTGAGAACCGCTATCGTTGGATGGTTCACTTTTACACTACTCGTTCTACACATCAAGATGATTCGTATCTTGATAAAGTTTTGACCTTTTCTGCTGCTGCTCAATCTGCGGTTGCCGTTCCATCTGATCCGTCTGTATCTGCCTCTGCGGTTTCTCCACCCGCACCGTCTCCTGAGGAGCCCTTGGTGGTTGCTGCTGTTGTTCCCTCTCCAGCATCTGCTTCTACGTCTTCTGCACCCCGGACTCCTCGCCCTTGCGTTTATTGCAATGGTTCGCATTATCCCAATTCTTGTGATAAACCTCTCCGTGAGCGTAGTGAGATTGCGTACCATAAAAGTCTTTGTCGTAATTGTCTCAATTCTACGCATAAAACTGCTGATTGTTATAATCGTGGAACTTGCAAGAATTGTAATGGCAAGCATCATACTTCTCTATGTCGTATTGCACAGAAATCGTCGTTCTCTTCCCGGTCCTCTAACGATCGTGTTTCTTCTAATTCTAATCGCAATCGTTCTCATCCTTATAAAAAACCTGTTGATCGTTCTTCCCGTTCTGACTCCGTCTCTTCCAAGCATCTTCAGGAGATGGATGCTAAACTCAAGAAATTTCAAGCTTTAGCTAAGGATTTGGAGGCGAAACATGCTTCATCCACTTCTACCGCTTCCACCACATGACTATCAACGGTTTCTGTTTGCACTTTTCCTGTACTTCCAGAGCCGTCTCCTTCCTTTCTTGAAACTGCTGAACTTTTGTATACCCCTCTTAACAGTTCTGTTTATGCTCTCCTTGACACTGGCGCTCAGCTTAATATTATTACTCAACACCTTGTTGATGCTCTTGGTCTTCCCCTTCAACCTTCTTCCACTGTTTACAAGATTGGTGGTGTTAATTCTACTGGATCCTTCCTTACTTCCTCTGCCGTTGTTACTTTGACTTTACATTCCCGTACACATGCTAATGTTTCTTTAACCTTCAACGCTGTTGTTGTTCCTCCTATTACTTGGCGTGGCACAAATCCGGTTGCCTTAACGCACATGCATGAATTCCGTTCTATTCTCGCTGACTCTCGCATCACTACTGAGCGTGTCGTTCCCTTTGATCTAATTCTGGGGGGCGCCTCACTTGTTTCTGTCCATCTTCCTAGTGCACAGCCGTATTATCAGGACACCACCTTTCAATTGTTATCCACAACTCTGGGCCTTGTTCCTCGCGGTGTCTATTCATCCGCACCTATTCCTTCTCCCTTTTCCACTGAATCCATCTATTTTTCTTCTCTTTCCGCCTCTGATGATGATGATGATGATGATTATGAATTAAATCAGTTGATTATTCGTCATCTCCGTGCGGATTATTTTGACATTCTTGGCCCTCCTGAGCCTCATGTTGATGCGCAAGCGCAGCTTGATGCTTATCTTTCTCAGATTTGCATTAGTCCGCAGGGTCGCATTGTTGCTCCTTTACCTAAAGGTCCTTGTTTTCCCTCTTTATGTTCCAACAATCTTCGTACTGGTGAAATCCGTAGTCGTTCCGTTATTCGCCTTTTAGAAAAAGGTGGTCCCTTAGCTGACGCGTATACGACTTTTGTTGAAGATTGGATTCGTGATGTCTGTTCATAACATTGTCCCCTTTGAGTTAGATGTTCCGCAGCAGGATCTTTATCTTCCTACATCTGATGCGCTTCTTATTACTCTTAATTCTTTTCAAAACGCTTTGTGAAATCAGTCGTTTCATTTTTCTTTCTTCGCGGCGTATCAAAAAATCAGAACCATATCAAACAATTTCATGCCCGTCACTTCACTTTCAAGTACCATTCTTTTCTTTCACCACGTTTTACCCGCTTTGTTTTTCTTTCTTCAACTTAATTTTGCATTTCTCTTTTTTTCTCTCTTTGAACTTAATTTCTTGATTCACGTCATTTCTTCTTTTTAAACTCGTCGTGATACTTTGTGCCATTCTGCAACGCATAGCATTTCCATTGGATAGAAGAATCGTCCCCCACAGCCAACCACCCAGCAGCCTTTGTATGTTTTGAAGACGACAATTGTTTGGTACTGCAATCCTCGCACTTTCACGACATCCCCTGAGCAAACTCCTTCCTTTGTGTCTTGCCTCTTTGGGTGGTATAAGGCCATGTCAGTCGTAAAGCATTCGTCATACTCCAACTTTCCGGTCAACATGCTGCAATTCATTTATTCTTTTGGTTTATTGGTTACTTTTTTGGTTTTGTTGTTCAACTTACCTGATAAATGGATCTCCCGCCACCCCTTTCCTTTCCGGGTCATAGAACCTATCTTCTCCTCCTTTGCATGCCCCTACTGGTCCTGTCAAACCACAATGTGCATGGGCTTGGGTTGGTGGTATCCCAAAAAAGACTCCTCCATCTTCGCCCCAGATTGCGCATTTTCCGGAGCATGATTTCACCGCATATCTTTCTGGTAATAGTTCCAAGCCAAACGCAATGACCATTCCATGGTCTCTTGCAAATTTCAATAATCCTCTTGGGGCGATATGTCCGAAACTTTTTAGTTTTCCATACGCCCTACTGTATTTGGTTAGGTAATCGATTGGTGTGGGTAATGCCCACCATCCTGGAGAACCTTGCGCTCCTTGTCTTATTCCAATTTTGTTCCTTAGTTCCTCATATAGTTTGGTTTGAAACGTTCGCCCAGCTTGCATCCTTGCCTCATCCAAAACGGCATTCATTCGTCCCTGTACTGTTAAGGGGACCACCGGCAGTCCTTCCTCATCTTTATCCAGCGTTTTCCCTTCATCCTCTCCCAATGTTGGGTTTGGTGGTGACGCTCCGATTGCTATTATTGGTACTCCAAATACTGTTGCCATCTTATCCATGAAATCCTCATACATTGTCAAGAACCCTAGTTCGGAAGTTGCTGACGACCATTTTTTCCGTCCTCAGACACATCTCTTTGATGTCATTTGTTCCACATCTGACGTAGATTTGCACAAACTTGAAGCTGTCATCTAAATTCAGGTCTGCATATACTTTCTCCTTGATTTCCTCAGCTGTGTACGTTCCCGTGCCGATCACTGCTGCCCATCCACTGATGGCGTACTGTAAATAATTATTTCCTTATAACTTCAGTATTTCTTTCCTTTCTTTCCTATACTTACTTGAAACACATCCACGTCTAGCTCTTCTGTTAGGTGTTCACAGTTTAGTACTGGGTGGTCTACCCATTGTTCACCATTAATCCGGGTTCTGAAAAACCATCTTCCATTCCCCAGCCGGAATAGCAAACACATTGATGAGCTAATAATTAATACCGCTCTCCTTTTTGAATTTTTTAAACCTGGTCCGGGAAATTTGAGCTTTTTTGTGCCGAATTTGAAATCTTGCACAACCGTTCCGGGGATTGGTAAGTCAACCTTTCCCTTTAATTCACAGTTGTGAAGAAGGCAGTAAGGGTACAAAAGACGGTGAACAGCGTATATACAACGGTCCAGAAGACCATGCATTAAACTTTGGAATTTCCGGAGGAGCAACCGTCCTGCAATCATCACCGGAATACATTTTTTTAACATATTCAATGCTGCTTTCTGTTTAAGTCTATCTTTCTTCACACTTACGCAAATCAATTCTGGATTCTATGGGGGTGCTTCTCAGTGGACACCGTACGTTTTCTTCTTTCTTCTCTTCATGGGTGTCCATCACCTCCATGTTCATTTGACATTCTTCTGCTCCGTGTGGTTCACCTGATCCTTCTGCATCCATCCTCTCCTCTTCATCACTGTCTTCATCTTCCTCCCGTCTGTCGCCTGTTGTCCGTTTCTCCCACAAGTTCATCAGGTCCTCAAACTTCCCAGTATGGATGCGCGTCTTTCCGAATTCGAACGTTTGTACTTTCCCTGTTCATCATTACAACGTTTTTATTTAACACTCCTCATTCACACATCTTGTTCTTTCTTACCTGTACCTTCCTTATCAAGCACAAATCGTTCACCAACATTCATTAGTGCATGTTTTACCAATTCCGTGTCGATTCTTGTAATCATCTCAAACGCTTCTTTCTTTCGTTTTTCTAATGCCCTCTGCATCCTTTTGGGCATGTCCGTTTCCGTCGTCTCCGGTGCGTCCTCTTGGTTACATGCTCTTCTTTGTTTTGTTCCCTCTGCTCCGTCTGATGTTTCCTCTGTGGCTAAAAACCTCTTCAATCGTCTCCAACCGTCGTTGTTCAGTTTTTCGATCTTCTCCATCACCTTTAAGGTGGTGCAACAAATTTCAAATATACTACATGTAAACAAAAAAAACAGATTTCTTCTCATTTTTTAAGGAGGTGCACCTTTAAGGTGTTTTCTGGCACTTGCACCATCGTTACGATCGTCTCCGTCTCTCTCTTCTGTCGTTCTTCTTCTTCCTTCTTCTTTGCAGCATCTGCTACCTCCTTCTTCCACCGTTCAATGCTCTTTTCCAGCCTCATCAGCATGTCCGTCATTTCTTTGAACTCTGTGTTAACCAAGCATTCATGAAATACCGATTCCTTGCATCCTTGTCTTTCACATACCTGCATTTGGTGCTCCTGACGAATTCTTTGTCGTCTTTTTCGAACCCTCCGCCGTTTCCGTCTCTGGGCTTTGCCTTTCTTGTCGTTTCATGCTGAGTTCACCGCACTTGTGTTCTCACTTGTTCTTTTTCCTGTTCTGCGAAGATGTTCACGACAACGTCAAACTTGCATCTCTCCTTCATTCCCACATCTCATTGCATGCTAATCTTCACCGTTTATCCGCATCGCATCAACTTCTCGAATCATTCGAACCGACCGAACCGCATCGAATCATCTGCACCGCATTGAACCGACCGAACCGCATCGAACCAAACCGAACCGCATCCAACCTATCTGATTTTCTTTGAATTGGGCATTGCCTTTTCAACTTCATTCATGACTTTTTTGCGCAGTTAACCGCCGTACCGTCTGCAATTGCTGTCAAAGAACGATTAAAGTTGGCCACTTTGATCTTTCTTTGCTATTGGGGTCCTTCTTTCTCTAACTCTTTTGAGATTAAAACAGAAACCCCGATTTTATCCAAACCGAACACCAGTCGCACCGATTCGACTTTCGGGACTGCCGTATGGGGGCGTCCATTTTTCTTTTCCGAATTATTCCTGCAGAGCCACTGTTGGTCTGTCACAGAGCCTTTGCTCCGTGACAGACCAAGGGGGGATTTTGTGGCGGAATAATTCGGTACATTATCGTACCGTCCTCCGTTGAAATATATTTATATCTTTACTTTTGGGATCTTGAAAAGCAAGATCCCCAGGTGCACCCCACACCTGATTGAAGTGTTTCATTTTACAATTCGAAAATCCTTTGCTTTTGTGCTAATTCGGGCACATCAAACCACCCATTTTTGTCACTTTGTTTTTGAATAGAAATTTTTTTTGTCTACAACATATACTGTATATTTACAGTACTATCCAGGAAACTGTATTACATCTGTCAAGGTCTTTCATAAATTAATCCCGAATTTTCAAGGCCAATTTTGTCTTATAAAAGATACTATTCAAAATGTTATCGTTTCTCCTTGCCACATGGCAGAAGATCCGAAAATACTTAGAACGGCTCATTTTATATTACAGATAATAATAGTATTAAGGCATGCTACTCTTCTGTGCAGCTCTGTCAGGGTATGTGCGTGGGGAGAAATAAGCAAGAAATTTTGGCACATCCCATTGTACAGATTAATTCTAATAATGGATCAGCAATTTTAAAGATTATTTTCCGTCTACGCCCATCCGGCAGTCAATAAAAACAAATGACCTTTTGTTTTCTGTATTGATGGCGAAGCAGCGTGTCCATGCCCAAGGAAGCAGGCAGCAGTTCTTTTCCTGACTGCTGATGACGGGGAATATACTAAAGAGTCGCAACGCATATTCAGTTCTGATTTTTTGACGTGAAAGCGAATAAAAACAAAAGACAAAGAGAAAATGTCCCAAAAAATGGAAAAATTTGATGAGACACGACGAGAAGAGAAGGATGAGACTGAGGAATTCGGCGTCAGGTCATTCTACATGTCGCTACGCCGATTCGTCTCGTACTGCGTCGTCGCCATTTGTACCCTCGTTCTCGTCATCCAGGTTCACTTGGATAAAATTTAATAAAAAAGAAGAACATTTTTCTGAATAATATCAACGTGCGACATTAAATATTTTGACGAATGCAAAACCATCACAAAATTTATTTTTCATTGCCATCAGTATGTTTGAAGAACCTGCGGTATTTTTGCAGGGATCCCTCTTTATAGCATTACCCACATTCAGTCGAAAATCTTGCGCTGGAAAATCTCATTATAACGAAAAACCTGTTTACAACAACATCTATTTTTTTAAGGCTATTTTTTCAGCTATCTCTACCCAATTGCCTTGATGTTACTTTTTAAAAATAATTTTTAGTTGCAACAAAAAGCTTTTGTAATGGTCCGAATGATGGTTTCGTCATAAAAAGATTTCACTGTAAAGCAGTGTTTTTAACCTGTGGTCATCCGCAGACCGGCGCCGGTCCGCAAAATTCTGCCGGTCCGCGGGAAATTTCTCCAGGCTACCCCATTTTGCAAAAGTAGCAATGAAGGATGCTACAGCTAGAATCTTTATCTCCAATTTTGGCAAGACAATTAAAAGTATCTCATTAGAATATATTTTGGCTTTTCTCATATACTGTAATACTTCAGACAACTTTTTACAATATTTAATAAATTATTTTAATTTTGGAGCCTGAAAAACCTTTCTTCAAGCCCACCTTTCCATTTTTTGAAGACCTTCCACTGCTTCAATGCTTCTTGACTTAATTCTTGCACAGAAAGTAGCAAAAGCTTTTCAAATACCCGCCATTCTAGCTGTCTTTCATGCAACACTTTTTTGAGCATGTTTTGGTGAGCCGAGTTTAGGTATTTTACAAAAATGAATTCTGTACACACATCAGCCAGCTAAGCTTCAGCTGGGGGTTCCACACCCAGAAAGCTTAATTTTTCCTTGAAAAAAATAAAAATAAAAAATGTATTTCAACAAATCAGGTCCCAACATGCATACTTCGACTGATCGATCCCCCGATTGCGTCCAGAAGCCGGATCGAAGTGGTGGAGAAAATCCCGTTCCCTGCTTTGACTGTCTGTCCGGACTACTATTACAAGTTCAACAAAACAGTGGTTCAGGCTCACGGACTCAACGTCAGCAAGAGCGAGGACATGGTCAACAATGTGGACATTTGGAGGAACTTTTCGTGGGATACAGTTTCTTTGCAAGATTTCTGGATCCAAGCTACTTCTGGTCCTCGTGACCTGATCCTCAGAGTGAAGCTGAACAACAGTTTGATTTTTGGTGCTGGCAACGAAGACCTTGAGATGACGCCCATAATCGGTAAACTGACTGACAATACGGGTGAAATTTATTCTAGAAAGAAGTATTCTCATGCATATTTTTAATCCTAATGTATTCAAATATGAGTCTGGAAAAACCAAAGGATTGGAGAAAATGAAGTACAGTAATGCAGTACTATATATACGTGGATTATCTTCTCACATATATATGCTGGCTAGTGTTGAATTTGTATGAACCACACAACTTTAAAAATTTTAAATCATTGGAAAATCTATTGAACAAATAATCCGAAAATAAAATGTCTAATAATCTAGAGCAGTAAATCTGCTGTGAACCAGTATAAGAGAGCCAGGGGAGGTATACTCAATTAGGCACAGCTCACGCACTCTGACAAAAAAAAGCAAAGGCATGATTCTTGTTTTTGAGAATGATTTATGGCTTCATTTTTGATGCTTTAATTAATTCATTTTTATGGTAAATAATCATGTTATATATTCAGCCTGGTAATTGAGTAAAATAAATTCCTAGAAAATATTATTTCTACTTTTGATTGTTCTGTCATTTTATCAAGAAGATTATATTACATACTCTTGTCTTAACTAGCAGTCACACAAGATTTAACCCTGAAATTTTTTTGGAATTTCACCAAAAGCAAAAAAGGGACACTCGGGTCAACTGGAATTCAAAGACATTTTTTAAATACTCACCTGCAGTTTTTAACTTTTAAATTCAATAAGTGTGAACATTTTTCCATGAAGGAAAATTTTAAGTAAGCCAAACTTTAGGGCATGCACACCCTTAAAAATGACAGGATACAAGACATTGGAAACATATTCAAAACTTGAGTTGAATTAAAAAAGTAAATTCTGAAAATTTTATATACACTCTTCAATTTTTATATTCATTAATTATGGATACTTTTCCCACAAAGAAAAATTCGAAATGAACCAAAAATTGCAATGCACACACCCCAAAAACAAATAGAATTTGAGGAATTGGAAACATTTTAAAAATGTAATTGAATTCAAAAATGAGACATTATTGAAATTTTCTCACACAATCTTAAATTTTTACTTTGAATATCTTTTGAGAAACTGAATTTAGCCGATGTTTAAAATTATAGCCAATGTTGCTAAAGTTTTTAGCCATTGTTGATTTGGGCTGCTGATGAGTAGCCAATGATACATTTGGGCTGCCAATGAGCAGCAGAATGGCAGAGTCAAAGAATTTGAAGGCTATAACATTTTAGCTGATGTAATTACTGTTTCTTAAGTGTTCTTTTGGCATGAAATGATATTCTCTTTTGTGTAAGGAGGGATGTTATATCCTGAATTGTTCTGAGGGTTATAACAAAAGTTCTCAGAGTTGACCACAAGCCATCACCAGAGGTTGATGACATTTTTTTTATTGGATTCCTCATCCTTTTTTAACCTAGAACCAATTTTTTTTCAATCCTAGACAAAAATGGAAACTGGGAAAAAAATTGAATGAGTTTTTTCTGGTGCTGTTCCTACACATTCTAACAGAAGTTCTTGGAATGAAAATGAAAAAAAACTTTTGGGTAAAAAAATTTCTTATTGACAAAAAACATTCAAGAAACACAGGAAAACATCTTCAGCTCTGTTCAATGTATTTCCCCCCAATGGCAATGCACTTTTCAAGTTGATGCACCCATTGTTGAAAGCAGTGAGAGAAACTTTCTTTTTCAATGTTTTCCAGCTCCTCAGTCACAGCAGAAATCAGCTCTTCCCTTATTGTTCCAAACACTTTCCCTTGAAGCCCTTCTTTCACAGTTGGAAACAACCAAAAATCACAGGGAGCAAGATCAGGGGAGTAAGGAGGAGGAGTCAAAAGCTGAATGCCCAAATTTGAAATGATATCAAGAGTTTTCAAAGTAGTGTTTGCAGGAGCATTGTTGTGGTGCAAAGTTGTAGAGCAGTGGTGCCCAACTCAAAATTGGTCAAGGGCCACATGAAAAAATAAGCCTTCTGTGCGGGTCACAATGCTGAAAATAAATAGACTCCTCCAAAATTTTCCCACATTTTAGACTCACTTGAATTTAACAAAAGTCAGCAAGTTCCTTTCATTCTTTTAAGCAAGCTTGGCAATTTCTCAGAGTAATTTATCTTGCCCAAGTCTTAGTGTTTGGTCTTGAAATGCCAGAAAAGATTGCATTCCTTGAAAACTGAAATTTTTTCACAACAAACCCAGCAAAGCATTTTGCCATTGAAGATTGTGAAGAAATATGTTTTTGACCATTCTTTATTAAACACTCTGCATTAAT